ACCCGCGATTGCCTGTTGGTTAGGTAACTGCGTATCCAGTTTACATAACCACCAGAAAATCCAAGGGCACTCAGTTTGTGAAGAAGCAAAGAGTGGGGAACGAGGTCGAAAGCAGAAGTTAGGTCAAAATAAATGGCATCCACTTGACGTTGAGAGCCAACTAGGGGAGTAATAAAATCAAGATACGTTACTAGATTGGTGGTGGTGGATTTACATTTTGTGAAACCATGCTGGCAGGGATTTAATTTCAACTTGAGGTCATGTGAAACATGGTTATGGATAACATATTCAAATAATTTCGAAAAATTGTTAAGAATCGAAATAGGTCTGTAGTTTTTGACTGAGGCACTGTTGCCTTTCTTAAAGATAGGAACAACTGCCGCTTGCTTCCATAATGCAGGAAAACACTGCTGAGAGAGACTAAGATTGAAAATATACTTCAAGACAGGTGCAAGTATATAAGAACAACCCTTAATGACAAATGCTGGGATGTTATCAAGACCGACAGATTTGGATGGTTTCAGACGTGCAATTGCTTTAAAAATGTCTGAATCAGAAACAATAATAATAATAATAATAATAATAATAATAACTCTACTGCAGTCACATTTTCACAGTAACTGTCATATGAAAATATTGTATTACTAACTGATTCTTAGATTATATAATGATACTATTTAAACTTCTGATGTTACACAGCACTAAATGATATATGCTGCATTAGATAACGATGCGCAATTAAAATATCCCTGCATTCTTGCTGGGTTGGTCTGGGTGCCATGTAGGCCTCACTGAAATAAATATATGTCAATAGTAACGTACATAATCAATCACTGTCCAAAATATTTTGACAATTCTGTGTGCCAATATTATGCTGGACACTGTCCTTCCTCTAAGGTATACTGTTAAGGTACATGGCATTTCAAATGTTGGTTCCTTTAGTCTTAAAATTTTAAGTTATCATTATATTGTTTTTACTCGTATTATGATATCATTGGTTACATTTGAGACTGAACCTGAAACCTTCTGGATATTAGTATGCTAGACCACCAGGGTTACCCAGGAATGATTGTCGTTTTAATCATATTTACTTCCTACCTGAAATCCTTTCTAAGCTCGACTTTCTCATGGCCTTTTCTGTTTTGATGAATACAACCTCCTTCATTTTCCTAGTGATCCTAATTTCCTCTTTGTGGATGATTTCTTAAAATAATTACAAATATGCCAGTTAATGACAACCAGTCACCTGAAGCCAACTTCCATAACATCATGTATACCAAATACAACTCAAATTATGGCAATAGGCAATGTTTAACATGATATTGTTATAAGAAAATTATATTCAGTGCACTGGAAGCAATGGACTGTGCATGAAATGAAATGAAATGAAATGGACAGTGCTTCCCTGAACTGAAGGACATGCATGATTTCTATCAAACCAAATGTAACCCACAGGCTATGTAATATGCACCCCTAGAGACTTCTTGGTACCCTGGAACTTGTAAGTTACTTAGACATGGTACAACTCCAACCTCCCATCATAAAAATCTAGAATGCTACAAAATATTATATGGGGCTCAAGACTTATATTTTGGAATCACTTTTGGAATAAGAACATGAGAATTGAAGCTTGGAATCTCATGAGCCTCTACAGGTCAGTAACAAGAAAATTCATGATGTAAAATAGATTTTGAGGGAGTGCAGGAGATTAAATGGAATGAAGGTGACACTGAATCAGCTTACATTTACATACATTTCTGTTCAAAGGGGAATTATATTCATTTATTTATTTATTTCGTCTATATAGATCATTGTTACATGATATAGGACAAGTCAGTTACTGTACATTGGCTGATTACAATAAGAGTAAAGTTACAATATTTACAATTGTTTATAATAGATTACAGTAGATTACAATAGTTAAGAGTTCATATAGTGTGAGGTGGAATTCATATTAGGTGCCCTCAGTACGTCAACTTCCATACGTCCTATTGTGCCTGTACTGGCGATAATGCTTATTGATAATTTGATGGAATGAGGATTGGCAGGGGAAACTGAAGTACTTGGGGAAAACCTGCCCCAGCGCCACTTTGTCCATCACAAATCCCACTTGACTAGACCACAGCGGTGGGAAGCCAGCGACTAACCGCTTAAGCTGTGGTGCGGCCTTTGAGATAATATTGGTGAATTTGGTGATAGCACTGGTATAGCGTTTCACTGTAGACTCTACACTGCAACATCTCACTACATCTGTTCTCCCTTCCTGGTGCAGTTTCTTGGTATCTGCAATCTCTCCAGAGTAGGCCATTCAGGTACATCTCCGACTGTGTTATCTTGGTTGCTGGGAAAAAGAAAGGAAAACTGCGCAGTAAGGATTCCCAAAACAGATTATTCATGAATTATGTGATTATAATTGATTAGTGTTTGTCTCACATGAGAGAAACTCATCCACTTTATAAAAACAGTGTTCGAGTAGGTAAGTTTTCAAGGCGTTTTTGAACTTAAATAGTACCGGTATTTCTTTAATATATCGTGGCAGATGATTTAGCAGTCGAAGTCCTACATTGTTAAAGTTGTTCTTGTGTAGACTTTTATTACATGGGACGATGTGCAAGTGGTCTTTTTTCCTTGTGTTGTATAAGTGTAATCCTGAGTTGGTTGTGAAATCATTCAAATTGGATTTTATGTGTATTAGAGTTTCGTATATGTACAAAGATGGTAGAGGTAATATATGTAATGATTTGAAAATTTGTTTACTTTGGTACTTCTTCATGCACAGGAATCAAATGATGATAGAGTTTGCTGTTGACAGAATGTTGTATGATTATGTAATACTGAAAGTTTAGTGGTGTGATTCCAGTGAAAATTAGAGAGAGAATTCATGAATTTAAACTAGGGTTTACATGAGATTATTAATAACAATAATGTTATAGTAGTAAAATTTACAGCACCAAATATAAAATTGTTAAGAGCACAAAATTCCCACCTTGCAACCTTTCCTCCTCTTTATGGGATAAAAGATACAGTTATCTTGTCTTAATAGATAAAAATGGCATTCAAGTATAACTGATGTCTGATCTTTCATAGAGACTGGCTGTGTTACTGATCACTATCTAGTGGTTCAAAGAGAGGGAGAGGTGTCAGTACACAAATGAGGAATGCAAAGTTTAATGTGGAAAAATTTTATCCTAAGAAATGGTGTGGAAGTTAAACAGATGGTATTAAATTAACTCACAAATAAGGGAATACGTGACTTGAAGAAGGGCTACCAACCCAAAACATCATAAATGATGAGACATGTGGTATCATTAGAGATTCCCACAGTATTATGGTTATGAACAGACTGAGAATTCAATCAATTATTTACACCTTCCATGCTATTTACAAAATAACTCATGCAGAATATATTTCATGTTTGAGTAACTTATAGAAGTCATCTGCCCTCCCAGTATTCATCAGTTAACAGTAAATTTCAAGTTCATTCCCTTTAACATACAGGAATTATAAGTTACTATAGAAATATACTACCTGTAGGCTTCCTAAAAAATCTGGCATGGAATAGATTGAATATGCAGGTAGATGGTTGGTAGACTGCAATGCATATTGCTGTTGCCATTAATACCAGAGTCTAGTTTTCATAAGACTGATATTGCTATTGAAAACGTGAAAGATTACATTTCCAAGTATTGAGCAGGCCTGGCAGATTTGATCCATATAAACAGTAACACATTATGTTCTGAGATTCACCAATTATTCATTCTATTTGGAATAGGGAATTTTGTTATATTGTGACTCGATGCATAATTCTGACATTAGCTCAGACTATATATCATCAAATGGTGGGTTGATTAATGAATAATGATTGGAAAGGATGAAGATGGAAGAGGCTGTGGCCTATTTCAAGGTATTCTCCCAGCATTTTCCTGAAGTGACTGAGGGAAACTAAGAAAATCCTGTCAGGTTAGTGAGTTATCTGGTTGTGATTCAAACCAGATATCTTATGAATAGGTGTCAGGGCTGTTGCTGCCTGATCCAACTTGCTTGGTAGGAACAAGAAAGAACAGATGGAAGCTGTTATTCACTGGCAGAGCATTCATGCTGTGTTATTCTGGCTAACACTTCAAGAAATAAAATAAAATATATTTTGTAGTTCAGCAGCCCTCCATATGCTGGTAAGAGATGAAATCAGATAAAGAATATTTTCCATCTCCAGCAAGCTAGCCAGCCAACCAGTCATAAGTATATAAACCAGTTCCTCATGGCTTATGTTAGCCATTTGTGAGCATGGGTATAATTAGAAGTGACATGATATAGTGTAGAATTGAGGGATGGAGGGAGTGCATGTCATTCCATGCTGCCATGTTAGTCAAGGAGAAACATTAGGCTAGTCGTCCATTGGAAGCGGAAACCTGCGAACTGGGATTCGGCCGAATCTGTGCGAATCTGTTCGTCCGAATTCGTGCGTTCACTGCGCGTCCTTTGGCTGCGTGTTCGGCCGATGCCATTCGCGTTCTGTCATGGCGCTGTCTTAAGATTTATGTGATCTGTACGCGTTTGATACTCCCTTACTGGCTAGGTGACGAGCACAGAATAGGAGAAAAGAGTGGATTAGTGGAATTTTACCAAAAAGACAAACGTTTGATGAATTTTCTCATATATGGAGTGATTCACAAGAGGACGAGTCACAGTATTTTGGTTATTTTCGCATGAAGCAAGATACATTTGAATACACATTAAGCAAAGTATATCAGTTGAAGAAGTACAGTAACTTCCGAGAAACTATTTCACCTGAAGAACGCCTAGCTGTAACGTTAAGTTAAGGATTTGATAAGAGTTTGAGAAAACAAAATATTACATCGATGTTATATTATTCTTGCTTCTTAGTGATTACATACAAACCGTTGTTTCTACAAAGGATCGAAATTACTATGATACACAGCGGCACTGTTCTTGTCTGTTACAAATTCATTGCTGTGGGAACTATTATGGGAACTGCGTGTCGATTCAAGGGATAGAGGCGAAACATTTGACGTGGACATCACGCTGCTGTTTCGATCCTCCTGTTCCTGCAGTAAAACATCCATCAATTTCATGCGTAATCGCAGCTGTCTTTCTTCAGGCAAGCTCATCAGAAATTGATAGTCACTATCCTGCTTCATTTGAGAGCTCTTTTCGAAATAGCTCAACTTTTTAGATTCTATTTCGAAGAATTTGTCATCGTAATTAATTCTTTTCTTTCCTCTTTTTAGCGGACTTTTGAAATGCTCTTTTTGTGCCGGAGACGTATTTACAGGTGCATCATTCTCGATATCTGATTGAAAATCTGGAGTAGAAAATGCATCATTATATTCACTTTGTGTTGTAATATTATCAGTGCCTGTCTCAATACAGGCGTCCGCAATGTCAGGAACACTACTCGACAGATTTCTCGGTTGAACAGTATCAGTTCGTAGGTGGTGAACGCAGCTCTTCGTCCGAAAAATCCAAACCAATCTGGATATTTCGCAGTTCGCAAGTATACGCGCGTTCACGGACGAATAGTGCTGCTACCAATGGACGCACTCTAACCTGATGCAAGCTGTTAGGATCGTTCGTCCGTTTCCGTGCGTGTTCGGACGAACTCCTCATCGCAACTTTCCGCAGCTTTCCGCTTCCAGTGGACGAGAGGCCTTAACATGCTTCAGTTGCCAGGAGCTCACACAGCACCCAAGCCAGTGGCAACTCATGGTTTAAATGAATGGTGGAGTTAAAACACAAAACTAATATGATGATAACATTTCTTGCATAAGTGTCGATGGATATGGTAGCAATAATAATAATTGATGATAATCTATATTTAAGGACAACTGTGAAAATTATATTTCCTGTTAACAAATTCATTTTGATAGCTGTGTCAATATTATTGCTACTATGAAACTGCATGCTTCAAAGTAAGTCTTGAAAGCTATGTGAAATAATAAAGCTGTTCACAGTCACCTTATTTATTAAGGAATTGCCCTCTTCTTATTTTTTGTGATGTAAACAACTCTGTTACTTTCTGGTTGAATCTCAGAGTGTCAGTATTACATCTTTGTGGATACTCTGAACAGCTAGAGTATGAAGATTTTCTTGTTCCACGAGTTCCTAAGGTAGGTCGTCACTCTTTCTACAGTAATAAAACAATATTCTGACTCCGTGGTTGAGACTGGTATTATATTATTTCCATTAGTTCATGCACTTGTGAGAGGGTATTTACTTTCACTAAATTTCAGATGGCAGAAACAGAGTTTCTTGGCAAATGTGTCCATTTCTATAACAGCATAATTTGCCCTCAAATTTATCCTTTGAAAGATTAATGCCCAATCTGCTGCTGACATCTGTGGTGAAATAGTATTACTTGTATTGTACAGCATTACCGGGTTTTTGGACTTTTTCCATCGTTTGGAATTCTAGGTAATAAAGGATATGACGTTTCGGTAACTGGACCTCTTTCCATCTTCAGGTGAGAAAGGAAGATACCTACTTAGTTGGGCCCTTTAGAAAGAGCTACTCTCTAATTCAGTGATTGAGGTTAGCTCTTTCTAAGGAGCCCAACTGAGTAGGTGTCTTCCTTTCTCACCTGAAGACAGAAACAGATCCAGTTTCCAATACATCGTGGCCTCTATTACCTAGAATTCCAGATGATGGAACAAGTCCAAAAACCCAGTAATTCTGTGTGTCATACACCATCATCAGAACCCTTTAGCATCTACTTGTATTATTGTGTCTAGGTTAGCGACTGGTAAGGCTTTTACATGATTCTGGAAAACCATTCACGCCAAGCAAATGCATTATCCCGTTCTGGCTAATATACTGTTGTAAAACTATCATGCCCAAGCACTATTTATAGTATGAGGCTTCACATTATCATAACAACCAAGCTTAACATAATTCTGTTCTAATATTTTCTAGATTTTCATAATTGTGTATGTTAAAGGAAGCTATACATTTGAGGAATTGATTTCAGACACTATTTAATACATTGAAATACCTACCTTATTTAAAGGAATTTTGGATTTGGATTGAATATTTGAACGTTTCTAAAAGACATACAGAGAAGCTTTCTATTGATGGCCATGAGTGCAATGTTACTGGTTCAACTAATTCACTTATTCCCATGTTTAAAAACAAAGAAGTTCCTCGCAATAGAAATAAGTACAATACCAATGTTATTCATTGCTATCTTCTGACCGTAAGCGGTGAGGATGTGTGGAGCGCGGGAGCATGTGGGGATGTGGAGGGTGTGGGAGGTGTGGCAGTAGTTTACCGTTTTACCGGTTGAGTCCTTGGCAGTGGCAGGCATTGTTTTGTAGTAGTGCCGTCATTGCCTAGGTGGCATAAGTTACAAAGTATGTTGCGTTAGTGACGTCACGGTGGCCACGTTGGTAGCCAATAGCATTGCGTTACACATTATACTTCCTAATCCCTGACCTCCCTGACGTCGAACGCAGTCGAACGTGCCAACATCAGAAAATCGATGCTGGATAAGGTGGTTGGAGCAAGGGAACAGGTACAGGGTGACTAGAAGACTAGAACGTCTGGGGCCGTCTGGGGCGAAGTTGAAGGTATTTGGTCGGCGTCGGAAGGAATAGTTTCCGAGGAAGCTGGTTTGATATCATGCTTCAGTTTTTCAGGTACTTTTATAAACTTCCGAGAGATTATCTAGGTTGATCTGTGTACATTCCTTTTTAAGTTTTTGTCACAGGAAATAACGTTTATATTATTGCGTATGGTATTTTGACATTAGTTTGAATTGCCGTTACACCACTGAAGTTAATTTCAATCAAAATGCCTAACATACATTATTGCATATGGTTCATATTTTGGCAGTTTGAATTGCAGTTACACCAAGTTTCAATCAAAATGCCTAACGTTAAATATTTCTGAATAAATTTTATTCCTTGAATATTTTTGTTACGGACGTATTCATACATCGCAGGCATAAGTAGTTTCTCCAGCCAAGTCATATGTTTGTATACAGTGCAATAAAAATAAATTTACCATTTTGAAATGATGTATTTTTGTGACTACAATTATTTAGGTAAACCAATAAGGATGAAACTAGTGTCTTGCGATACTTTTGTGGTACTGCCACCACTTACTGCACATGGTGGCGTTATTTTTGGCAAGAATTCAGATCGCCCTAAAGGAGAGGTACAGGAATTGATATATCAGCCTGCACAACAACATTCTGCTGGAGATAAACTGCAGGTAAATACTGGCAATTACATAGTATCACCTCACCTAAGGAAAACCAGAATTTCCTGTCGTTGCAGAAAGATGTGATTGCCCTTTTGAGGCAATTCACAACTAAACTCTTTAAGAATGTCACTTCTCAGGACACCAGTAATAGCACTAGCAAAATTGAAACACGTGATTGGTATTTAAAGTTTACTTATAGGAAAGTGTAAGTGCAGATGGTTAGATGGGAAGGAGAACCATCAATCAGGGACAGGATTTTATGTATATAAAGAATCATATTAGCAATTGAGATGGTTTGTTAGCAATAGGATGCTCTATGTATTACTAACAGGTCCAGGGTGTGATATCATTGTTCTGGATGTTCATGTCCCAACAGAAGATAAAACTGATTATATGAAAAACAGCTTCTATGAGGAACTAGAATGTGTATTCAATCAGTTCCCTAAGTGCGACACGAAAATTTTGGTAGGAGATTTCAATGCCAGAGTGAGTAGAGAAGATATTTTAAAGCCAACAGTTTGGAGAGAAAGTTTACACAAAATTAGAAATGGTAATAGAGCTAACAGTATACTTTGTCACATTCAAGAACAAAATTGTATAGAGTACAATGTTCCCACATCACAACTTTCATAAATTATGTTGGACATCTTCATATGGAAAGACACAATTAGATTTATCATATTTTGATAGACAGGCACTAGCATAATCCACATGTAATTGAACATTTGTAATTAGTATGAAAATGTGAGATATGTCACTGTACTATAGTACTGGATCATCATCTGAATAATATAGCATGACATTCCATGACTAATGTAGCGTGGTTATCCATAGTTTTGGTTTGTTCTGTATCTGTGTAATAACTGAAAGCTACTTCTAATAACTTAAATTGAAGTTGAAATAATCAGTAATTTTAAAAGTTTCACCATTACTACTGAATGACCATACTCAGGGTAAAAGTGCAGAATATGGTCTGGGTCTTGCTAGGCTAAGTTGACGTAATGTAACATAATACCAAAATCATACTGACTAGGAAGGAAAACTGTACCCTGGAACATGACATAGTGGGCAACCCAAGCTACATTCTGCACTTTATTGGATTTTCTGCTGACTTGAACACATCATTGTCACTACTTTTAGATCATTTGAATTTTAATTACATTTTCTAAATCATATTGTGGTGTTCTCAGTTATAACACTTTACAGTCAGGTACGTGGGTACCAGAATTTTCCAAGAACATAGGATCTCTATCTTCAGATTAGAAATTGCCCTGAAGATGGGAGCACTATGTTCCATTTAAGTGTTGGTGCCCACATACTGGATTGTATGGTGTAGTGTTGTTGCAATCAATGTAAAACTTTACTACCATGAAAGCCTCAAATGTTATATTCTCACTGACATGGTTAGTTTCAGTTTATGCAGGATTTATGGAAAGCCTTGTTCTGTTGGAATTTAAGGAGGGATATGATATGATATCTGACTGTATGTTATGTCATTCTCAGATCACAGTATTTTTCATGCACTTGTACATGTGTCAGATCATGTTCTAAACTGTGCCATCTGAAATATAAAGGGGCCAGTGTTTTATCAGAAGAAGGAAGGAAGAAATGAGATAAAGGTATGAGAGGGAGAAAGGAAAGGAAGAAATGGCATGAAAGAGAAGATACAAAACAAATTATTCCTCATTGACTTTCAGTGTCCTTTTCTACCAGTATTTATATTGTTCTCCATCAATACAAAAATCGTTCATGTAACCATTTCTTTAGGAGTAGGCAGGATTCCGTGATCTTCTGCATGAATATTTTACTGAATAAGTTTTGGGATAGCAGGCAGCAGCTAGCAGCTAGCAGAGTAAGACAGGACAGACAGGACACAGTTATTCCAGTAGTATATTAAATTTCTTATTTCTAAATGTTGTACCATTTATTAGAATTCCATAATCACCAACTGCAAATAAATGGCTTTTATTTGAGCAATGAAGAACAGGGCTTTTTGTTTGATGCGTAATGTTAATCTTGTTTTTCTCCAGTGCACTTACATCATGGTGGAGCAAGTGGAGGCAACACAGGCTGTAATTCTCAGCAAGCCAGCATGGATGTGGGGAGCTGAAATGGGGGCCAATGCTAATGGTGTTGTCATTGGCAACGAGGCTGTTTGGACCAGAATGAATGATCCTTCAGACTGTGATGAGAAGTTGCTGGGAATGGATCTGGTTCGGTAAGATATAATCAGTGTAAGAATTGCAGGGTGCTGAAATTTGAATTCTTATAACTCTAAAATAGAGTGAGAGGATAGCTACCATAAAAAAAAAAAGAACATTAAACAAGAAAACTCTATAAAAGTGACATTCTCAACCAGTGGGATGCACATTCCCTCCAGGGAGGGCACAAGAGCCCATAGACTTAGTGATGTTTACACCCTAAATGCACTCAAAATTGCATTTTTACTGTTGATTTCTGGAAATTGCCAAGTTTTACATTGGAATAGCATATCATGTAGACAGTGAAATGTCTCCCAGTAGGGTCTGTTCAGTAGACCCAACTTTCCTCTTCAGAATGGTATATGACATTTCATGCCATTTATTGAAAGTGTACAAGAACTGCTTGTTGCTCTCATCATGGGATAGCACAAATTGTGGTGTGAATATGCTAAATGCTTGAAATGGATTAGAAATGACTAGTATATACTTATTACCTCTCAAATTCATTGTGGGAAATTTTTTAATTTTTAAAAGAAGAGGAAACATTTGCCTTTCATTCTGTCAAATATGGTATTGATCCCTTTTAACATCAAACGCTGGCATGAAATTATCAATAAAATCTCCAAGTTTGAGACTGAAAAATAAGTGTTTTAATCGAGAACCTTTTCCCAACTAGATGTTGAAAATCTGAGACTAATACATACCTCATAATGACCATTCTGATAGGTACCATGACAGGTAACATGTCCATATTTAAAATGCTGTCATGTTAGTTTTTAATCTTGAGATTTTTTTTGCATGTCTTGAATAAACTGAGTACCTGTTGGTTGTTCTTGTTCTTGTTGGGGTTGCTTTCTTAGTTCTTCTTGAGTGAAGGGTTCTTGGTTATGTTCATATTCATAAGGGCCCCAATAAGATTGGTTTTGTTGGTTTGTTTCAGCCTTTTAGTGATGCTGTTAAGCTTTTTTACTAAGGAACAGTATTTTCCTTTGGTCTCTAATTATTTATCCTATTATTTTTCTCCTGTTTTTAGTTTATTTTTGTCTTTTTTAATTTGGTTATATCTATATATCATTGAGAGTTCTATAATAAGATGTCTTGGTTCTGCGTTGTTTTTGTAAACCGGGGGACTTTTTATTGTATATATAGCTGATATGTTCTTTTTTTTTATTTGTTTTATATTATGAATGCCTTAACTTGTCACCCGTTTTATACTGTGGATGAAATTTTTGTATATACTAGTTGGTAAGATTAATTGTATTCTGGTTCTATTCTTATGTCTTGACTTAGTTTTTTGTACTACTTATTTATCTAATATGACTTTTCCACATCCTAAAGTATTGGATTTTATGGAAATAATAGATGAGTGAAAAGAGCTTGTACTGACGCCTGAAACCTTTGAGAGTTCCATACTGGGGAAGTTTTGTTGTATATATGGCTGATATGTTCTTTTTTTATTTTGTTTTATATTATGAATGCCTTGACTTGTTCCTGTGGGAATGGAATGTTTGTTTTTTGATCTGTGACTCATTCTATATCCAGTAGTTGTTTCCCAGCCTGTATGTGGATCTATTTTTGAATTTTAAATAAATTGAATTGAATATACATGCCCATTGACTGAAATGGACTATTTACCTTCCCTGAAGCTTGTGTTAAAAATGTCTGTAACTTTACCTCTGTGTATACTGTGCAGCAGTATAGGGACTTTTTTTTAACCTTTCCTTCAGTATCTGTTAGAATGAATTCCCTCTTCATTATTGGTTTTGTCTGTCATCTCAATAAGTATTTTTCATGTCATTTTTCCCAGGTTAGGTTTAGAACGTTCACAGACTGCAGAGCAAGCTGTGGATGTTATAACTGAATTGCTGGAAAGATATGGGCAAGGAGGACCATGCTCAGATATAATACCAAATTTTACATACCACAATTCATTTCTCATTGCTGATCCCAAAGAGGCTTGGGTGCTGGAAACAGCTGGAAAGATCTGGGCTGCTGAGAAAATTACAGGTTTGTTTTATTCTCCTTTCCTGATAGTGTTAATAAAATATGCTGTTTTTTGTGTTAGTGTAGGTTAATCTCTTTTTAAAGTAATTTATATCTGATAATACATCACTGGGCTCAGGAAATCTTGGGAACATGATATCTAATATGTTTGGTACATTATTCTTTTCTATATTCTATATTCTGCTCTGTATTCATGCATGGATTTCAGATTTGTGACTCTTAGTACCAATTTCTTGCAGTGTTAGCTGAAAAAAGATTTCTTTCTAATTGTATTATTTCAGTATTCAGTAGAAATGTTGTAATTGGCTTAAGTGGTGATTTAAAATTGATTGCTGTAATCCAGTTGTGCATTAAAAGGTGAGTTAATGTAAACACCTTGCTCCAAACACAAACTGTATGTTCAGGTATTATTAAAACCGTATTTTACCTTTTCATAAACCATCAACACAACTCCTTTAGTGTTCAGTATTTATTTAAAATCTATTCTACTACATGTTTTGACCTGTATTGGTCATCTTCAGGTGGTAACAATGTTGAACACAGCTAGTGAATTGTTGCTCTTTAGACTGCCTTATTAAAAACTTTGATCCAGTTTTCTGTAAGTTACATAGTTTTTGTGTTTGGCTTTGTGATCACATGGTCAGGTGGTAAAACCATAAAATAAGGTTTTACCACCACCCTCCTCACTCACAGTGCCTGTGTGTATATATTTGTTTACTGGGAACTCAGTTGGCCACAGATTGAATATGAGGAGAGTGGTCATTAAAATATGGTAGGCGCTTAACTAAAGGTGGAAGTTAGCGGCCTCCGTTGTCTAGGGGTAATGTTTCCACCTCATGACTCAAGGTACGCGGGTTCAAACCCGGCAGAGGTCGTGGAATTTTTAAGGGTGAAAAAATTCAGGGAACAAGTCCTCCGGGAGGGACTTTAAGCCGTGGGTCCCGTGTCATAGATTTATGGCACGTAAAAGATCCTCATGTCTCTAGGAGACCTCTGAGCAAAATTAGGCAAAAAGTTTCCCACCCAAGTAGTTTCCAATGTCTCTGGTAGATGGGGGAAGTATCAGGTACCGAGGGCCGACCTTGTTGGCTGAATGGGGCTGATAGCANGATGGGATTTGGGTTTGTAGTCAGATTTATTGAACTCTTACTATTCATAACTACAAGTAACGATTATGCTGTCACTGTTCTACATACTTCACAAATCACTACAGGACACACTAGGTCTTCAAAGTCTGTTATATTCTTCACCAGCCATTGATTGTTAGGTGCTTCCAACAGCGGATGTTCCCCTTCCTCCAGGTTCTAGAACTATCCCCTGCCTCATCTACCAGCTTCTCACAGCAACAGCTTACAACAACTGAACCCCAGTGGTTACCTGACTGCTCTTCAGTCACTCAGTTAAATTGCTGCTGGCCTTCACCAGCACAATCATTCCTGGCTTCATTCTCCTCGAGATCCATGACCAAGATTTTTATTCTCTCCTAGACATGTATGTGTTTTGAAATGGGGCTTCCTCTTCAATGAAGGCTTTCTATGTAGGCACTACATTTGTTCCATCGTAGAGTCAGCACAAGTATATCCACACTGTCACGATACCCAGGTCACTATGGACTCTGTGCATTTTTTGTAACTGCACTATACCAAGTAACATTTTTAGAAGGTATACATTAGTTTCTTGTCAATGAAGACATGTGCAGCAGGTTATGCCTTAATTTATATAACTACTATGTAACTGCAGTTAGTCGGCTGAACGGTTGTAGGCCTGACTGCTGCCAAGTGTAAGACTCTTATACTGTGTATGCCTGGCTTCTCATTGTCCAGTACTACATACATTTGGATTTACATGGTTTAGGATTAATTCTGCCTGCATCCTGCATTCAAGGACAAACATCGATAAGACTAGTCACCTGACAGGTAAAGTGCGTGGACCCACCAGAAGACCACACTTTTCTCGGGCCATTATCTCCGTAACCGTTCAACTTTGGACATAGGTGTTTTGGGTTATATCGGCATACTTTAACATAAGGAACACCCTCCCGAAGTCTGGCACATTCCTCCTGGGACACTCTGTATATAGAGAGTGTACAGTACTGTGGCTAGGACAGATTCTTGAGGAATCTCTGCCTCCATTTTTCTTGGTGTAGAAAATTTGCCTTCTACCAAGACAGTAAATTTTCTGCCAGTGAGAAAAGAAGCAATTAGTTTAATGAGAATTGTCAAAAATTATAATTCTTGCAATTTACATAGTAGGCCAGAGTGCCATATTATGTCATAGGCTTTCACGATATCCAAGAACACAGCAGCCGTCAACATACTATTGTTGAAATTCAGGGTGACATGATCCGCCAACCTCATACATTGAAGTATCTTACTGTGATCTGCTCGAAAGTCAAACTGACTTGCATTTATATCTCTATGTGTTATACACCATCATCAGAATCCTATAGTAACTACTTAAACATCCAGTGCTGTCAACATAAGTCAGTGATAATCGAATGACTAAGTGATGGATTGGCAGCCAACAGTGGACATGCATGTGAGAACGAATTTCTAACTATCCAGATTAAAGATAATCTGGCCTTGCCACATTTTCTTGCATCAGTCACAAATGTGGAGAACTTGATCATGATATATAGAACAAAATGTTTGCATTAATGTCACTTTGAAACTTGGTAAAATGGCTTCAGAAACACATGACATGTTATAAAGAGGCTTTGAAGGAAATGCTTAAACTTTGGTTTATGAGTATGAGCCATTAAACATTACAGCAGGTGGCACAGTGTTAATCTCCACTGTTGCTGCTTGCAAAGAAGGCCAGACAGATGTGACCAAATGTCAAGAGTGTCTTGGAAGTTTATCCTGCGATAGGGTTGTCCATTACAAGTTGATTTCCCCATGGTATTATTATTATTATTATTATTATTATTAGAGGGGGTGGGTTTCCCCATGCACCGCGACTAATAGTCTATTGTATGTCCCCCTCTGATATTCTACCAGTCGCCATACCCTACCGGTACTGGTGCGTGCTATCAGCCCCGTTCAGCCAACGAGGTTAGCCCTCGGTACCTGATACTTCCCCCATCTACCGGAGGCATTGGAAACTACTTGGGCAGGAAACTTTTTGCCTAATTTAGCTCAGAGGTCTCCTAGAGACATGAGGATCTTTTACGTGCCGTAAACCTACGACACGGGACCCATGGCTTAAAGTCCCTCCAGGAGGACTTGTTCCCTGAATTTTTCCGCCCTTAAAATTTCCACAACCTCCATCGGGTTTGAACCCGCGTACCTTGAGTCATGAGGTGGGAACACTACCCCTAGACTACGGAGGCCGCTCTTCCCCATGGTAACATTCAGTGTGCAGTGTTTCACAGATGTACTTCAAAATATGTGGGAAAACTTCTTCCTAATGCATCTTGAAAGTTGGTTTACTCAAGGTTGGTTTATTGTAGCAGTGTATGCCTCATATTGGTCTTTCCAGTGATTCATAACCAGAACACAGTGACTGTGGCCTCCTACCGTCCAAACCCTCTAGATCTTGGTCCCTGGAACTTCCTCTTGTTTCCAGTGTTGAAATTGAAGCTCAGAGAAAAGAGATTTAACAGTGTTTTGAAAATTTACCAAAATTCACAGCAGTTACTTAATTTTGTTATGAAAGAACAGTTTCAATCATGCTTCCAATAGGAGAAGTGCTGGGCTCATTATACTAACTCTTAGGAACAGTGCTCTGAAGGACACATGATGCACAGTTTATAGTCTCTAATATGACAGCATCATTAAATAACGAACATAAAAAGCTGAGATGCAAAATTGGATCACTTAAACAGAAACAAAACAATAATTATAAATGCATTCTCATAAAGTGCCACCTCATAAATACCACTTGAATGAATGTATAAGGGGTGGGCCTCCTTGGCCCTTGCACCGTGACCACAGTGATCTATTATGCCTTTTAATACCACTTTCTCATATGCATCTTATTAGAGAATGACCCACTCATTCCTTGAGAGGTAATTTAGTGATCAGATAACTGTGCATCTAAAACTCTGTGGCCTTCATAAACTAATAGGACAGTACGTTTAGATTACAGATACTTTCGACAATGTTATTAGTTCTAATTCTTGTGCTCCTTTCTTTTCTTCTTTTTTTGGTAGCTGGATGTCGAAATATCTCAAACGCTTTAAGTATCGGGACCAAAATTGATAGAAGCTCTGCTGAACTCAAGGAAGTTGCACAAAAGCATGGACTATGGGATGGTCAAGTGAGTGCCACTGTAAATTTTGAAGACAGCACATGTTTCATAATCTTATCTTTTTGCTACTCTTTGTAGTTAACTTATAGTTTACAACAACTAAGGGTAAATTCACACAAATGAAAATTGTGTCCTTTTAGTATACAAATTAATTATGATTGGCTTTGTTTCAGGGTGAATTCAATTTTGCAAGTGTTTATGGTGGAGATAAGGGAAGTGACCCAGAACGGGAAATTTGTGGGAGTAATCTGTTGAAGACCTTGTCAGCAGACAGTACCTTTGATGTGTTCAATATGTTTCAAGTTTTAAGAGATGAAGATAGTGGAATCTGCCGCAAGCCTGATGATGCCTTTCCTACAACTGGCAGCCAGGTTAGTAATAATTGAATGCATGCTTAAAGCAACTTCTTCTTTATACAGTATACAGTATATTTCTGAATGGTAGTTCAGCTAACTGCATGCTATAGGGTCCTTCTTGAGAATCTGAACTGGTCAAGAACCTCCCTCTCTTCTATGGAATCTACCCTCAGCCAGTTGAATGCTGTCTCCCCTGTCAGTCTATTTCTTCAATATTTATTTTAATATATTCCTCCCATGCATTCCTAGATTTTACACGTGGTCTCCTCTCTTAATATTTTGCGCCAGAAATGTTGACTACGTTTATTATTTTCTTCTTGCATGAGTGCTGCCAAACCACCTCAATATTATGCGAAGAGCACAAACTATGAAGCTCCTCATTATGTAATTTTTCCTGTCCTTCTGGCCCCTCCTCATTCTTAATTCCAGATATTCTCAGCTTTTTGTTCTTAAGTGCCGTCAGTCTGCACTCTTCCTTTGTGATGGGAGGTCACCACCACCATCATATTGATATATTTAAAACTTTTTAATTATTTCTTTGCTGTCATATTCTATACTAGCCATGGTTCTTCCAGTCATTAACATACTAATTGTATTCATAGTACATTTTGTATTTTACTTTTCTTGCCTTTGAGTGATAATTGATTTGTGCACTGAAAGAATTGCTGTTGTTGTTGTTGTTGTTCAAATGATATAAATTGTCATGGGTGTTCTGTGAGCAGCTCTCATTTTCTGACCAAACCTTTTCGTAGATTTTTTGCTTCTTTGCAAAAAAATTCTTATATTCCTCCACTTTTTTAGATCAGTAACTGATGGTGTTAGTTTTGGTTTGTTTTTAATTCCCCTTCTTTAGTGGTCCAGAAATACTTTCAGCTAAAATTTGAAGTCTGGGCCATGCCATAACTCAGGCGTTTAATCACCGTGTTGCCACCACAGCAGCCCAGGTTTGATCCCAGGTTGACATTTGGGATTTATGGTGGACTAACTGGCACTGGGGTTGTTTTTCTCATAGTACTTAGTTGTCCCCTGTGAATCCTCTTTCCAAAAACAGTTCCATATTCATTAATTATTGTGTCACCGATACTGTGCAGTCCTAATACCAACAGCACCATTAAACAACAAACACACAAAACTAAGCAGCTTCTAATTTTTTAAGGTATCAGTATTAAGTGCTGTAGGAAGTGGGAAACCTCATTGTCATTGGTTCACTGCAACTCCGAATCCTCGAGCATCAGTGTTCAAGCCATTTATCTTCACTTCTGAGGCAAGAATTTCTCAGCATACATACAGCCCAGTGTTTGATGATGATCCAGCTAAGGTATGAATGTTCACATTGCTTACTAATAGCTAGAGGTCTTGCAGTCATTTATGCAGGATGGCATGTTAAATCATCCCTTATTTAAGCTTTTCACAGAACTGTAATCATCACATAATGGTTCAGGTTTGCATATGCAAACAAGCACCAAGACACGGAGATTTATCCTTAGTGGAGTACATGTACAATATGGCTGCTCTTCTGCTGTAGAACTTTCAAAAGATAATTCCTTTCTGTTCATGAGCATATGACAACACATATCTGCTATAATCTCTCAGTAAATTTGGACTGCCATAGCCCTGGGTTCAGTCAACAAGGCTGACTCTTTTGGCAACAATTTTTCCTTCATGAAACCCCAAAGGATGAATATTTTTGCTCCAAAACTGAACTGTCCTTTCCCACTATGAAGTAAGCCTGTGGATAGTTTTCTGAGAAAATTGCCCAAATGAACATGAAAATATCTCTGTATGTCCACAATATGTTTTGCTTCAGCACAAAAGAAAATAGTTTTACACTGTGTTCAACAGTCAATCTCCCTTTTGTTTGACAGTCAGTTTAAATGTAGATAGCCAGTATCAATAAGTACTTGCCCATTACAATGAGCTGCTATCATCTTCAGTAACATGCCAGTCTTTACAGTTGCAAGCAACAAAAAATTCTGATTCAGTTAGGATATGATTGTATGGTCATCTTCATGAGTCCACCATACTACCCCATGAGCTAAATTGAATCTTGTTGGACTATAATTTTATATTATCCAAATAAACCATATTCATATTTTTATTGGTTCCAGAAATCCACATTTTGCAATACAGCCTCCAGATATAGAACAAGTCAAATTATTTGTATAAAAGTCAACAATACTATAATATTTAACTACATACACAAATTGTGTACATGTCCAACATACCATACAAAACTATATTAAAAATTTAAGACAACATAAATTCCCCAACAGAGTAACCAGTTCAATCCATTTCACATCAATCAATCAACCAACCAGTCCATTCTTCCTTCCTCGTCAAATCACTGTCATAGGAAAACGTTCCATACACATTAAATATACAATAGTTCAATTTCTATAATTAAAAATAAATACCCCCCTTTCACAAACATACCATTTTTAATTTAACTTATATTCCTCTACAGAATAAAACGTATGTTGTACCAAATATGACCATTAACAACACAAGAAGTATTACTGAGCTCTCTGGCAGATAATTGTTGGCTTCCCACTGTGGCAGTCTGGGTTCATTCGCAGTTCAGGTCATGTGGTGTCTATGGTGGACTAAATTTCACTGGGGTAGGTTTTCTCCAAGTACTCAGTTTTCCCTGCCAATTCTCATTCCGTTGAACACTCAGTACTCATCTATGATCTGGGGCTAGTATGGTGGACCCATTAGTGGCCTGTGTACCAAATGGGCTCAGTCTCACCCTGCCTCACAGAATATCACTGAACTGGTTGGTATAGCAGTAGCATTCTAGACTCTTATTCAGGAAGTACACAGTTTGAATCTCAGGTGGGTCACCATCTGTCCTGACTGAAGTTTTTCATGGTTTTCCCTAACCCCTCCAACTAGTTGCCAGTTTAGTACCTTGATTAGACCAGAACCACTTCCTTCAAAATCCTTTCCAGTTGACCATCAATTCTACATTCAGCACTGTGTATTCTAGGCACTGAGAGCATTATAAAATAATGTGCAAAAGAAAAAGAAACCACAAGAATTTGTAGGTTAGGAAATTTGCAGTAAGCAAGTAGACTGTGAGATCAAACCAGAACTCCTTGTTTGTAGTGAAATAGCATGACTCCTTTGCCTGCTTTTGCTGTCTCTGGCTCCCAGCCCCCCAAATTTTTCAGGCTTGTTAGTAGCTTACAATCCCCACACCTCCAGTTAGTGCTCTGAAGGGTTTCATACCAAAGGAATCCTATACCACATGTTTTAATTTATTATAATTTCAAACAATGTTGCTTAGACAAGTTTTTTACTCACATATAGGATGCACTAGGATAGCATTCCAAGCAAGCCAGCCATCTCAAGGGTTTTCATGGTTAAAATAATCCATGACTGCTTCCTTCCACAGGTGTATTTCTTATTCATAATAATGCAGTCAGATACAACTTTGTGCTCTGTAACTGTAGCAGTTGATAACCACCAAGTTAATTTAATCCATACAGTGTACTTGTATATGATATTATATGTTTCCTATCACAGTAATTATGAATAGTTGTCACTATTGTTACACACTTACAGATAGTTCCACGCTTCCAAAGAGAAGTGGATCGAGCCCACACACTCTACAGATTGCATGCAGAAGCTAGCGATAATGCTCGTTCACTGCTCAAAGATATGGAGTTGGGCTGTGTAGCAGATGTGAACAAGTTCCTTGATGACTTCACCCCAGGACAGAGTCTTACTGAAGTTGATGACCTCCTCAAAGATGTTGTTGAAACAGAAGTCAAGTTCTACAAATAAATGAATGAGTGGAGAGTTGTACTGATTAAGTTGAATGAGAAGCAGTTTCTTCTTCACTTTTACTGCCCAGAACACAGCTGTCTTCTGGATCAAATGGGCTTCATAAGGGTGTCATTAGTATTTTTCATTCTTGGGAACTTTTGTTGGGGAAGAAAACTGCCAGAAATTCCTTTGTAAGAGATAATTTGGGAATGGGAGTTGGGCAGCTGTTTAAGGGGATAAAGGACAAGATCATTTTGCTATTTGAATCTGAGATGTGAAATGTAGTAGCTTACAGAAATATTGAGTCACACTGCAGAGTGGTAACTATGAGAATACAACCTGTAACAATTTTGCTACCATTTTTATTAGTTCATAGTTTTAATTGAATTTTTAAGTATGACATATCATTCCATGATTAAACAAACACATCTGAATTATTATCCACAAGAATGGGATTTTAACCTTAAAAATAGAAGATTGTTTTATTCCTTAGGTAACCTGTTTTTTCGTTCTGAGAAAGATTTTGAATCTTAGAAATTTCAGCCAATAACTTTTTGGCAGATAAGATTGATCTGAATGCATGCATTCTGCCAACATATGCATGGTGCAGTTTTAAAGTTTTGCTGTTTATTACAGTATATACCAAGAATATGAAACAAACACAAAATGAAAGGCAAACTGTGGTAGTTATGTCTGTATAACCACCATCACTGTTTTGCTCAACAGCAGCTTCACTAAGTGGGTGAACAACTAGCAGCAGTTGCTGGCATAGGTAACCTATCTCTTTCAAACTTTCCTAACTTGGTACCATAACAGTTTGGTCTTGAAGATAATAAATGAAAAGGCATAGAACTTACCATAATATGCCTTTATTTATATACAGTTTGAACTCTAACAATGCATGATGTCTTGCTGTCTTTTCTTAGCCAATATTTGAAACATATTAGTGAGAAGGCAGTTTCTGTGACATTTACAAATTATGAATTCAGCCTCAAAGTGGCCCTGACTTGCTGAAGAAAGTTAATACGTGGAGTTACATTGCTTGCCAGAAAAGAGGATTATGTCACTAAATTGCTTATCTTTCTGCTCTGTTAATGCTGAACTAGACAGTCATTATGCTAAATCATATGCCTCACACACCTACAACCTTCACCAATCCCTTTCTTATAATGTTATTACGCATGACATTGTCATCCATTCAGTATCATCCACTTCAAACTATGACACCATTGGTTCCTCATATTAAACAGGTATATATGGATTTTGCGAAGATTGTATAAAGTCCTTGAGTCTGTAAGACTGGTGTGACTGACTGTTGTAGTAATGTTGTTCAGTCTGAGCCCTAAGCATTGCGCTGTTCACATCTGACCACCATCCCAATTCTTTCAACACCTTGAGTATAATCATCTGACATTACATATTCAGCTGGTGCTATCATCTGTAGCTGTTAGAAATATAATTGTCCAGGAAATATTTGATTCTGCAAGGAAGGAAAACTAGCCATTCAGTTATGTCAGTCCGCACCATTAATTCACCATTAAGATTATGTAATATATTTAAAATAGTGTGGGTTTATTCATGTTCCACAGTGGCACACTCGACTCAGTTGCACAATCTGTATTAAACTATCACTGTTTGTCTTTTATTTTTATTTTTCCCTCCCCTCCCCCCAATTCCTGTTTTGCACAATCATGAAACAGCAAATTTTAAGAACTGCACCATGCATAAGCAGACTCTAACATTCAGTTTTTTTTTGTCTGTTGAATATTTCAAGATGTATATTCTCAGAAACAAGTTTTTTCGGTTGCCGTATGGGAAATTTTTATTGAGAATTTCATGTTACTGATGTTCCAGAACCCATGTCATGTTAAGAGCCCCTCAGAAACATGCACATCAGAAATTGATTTGGAGGTCTCCTGATATGGTAATGCTTTATCTGTTTTTCTGTTTAAGATTGTCATGAAATAATAAACTTTCAGCCTGTTGCTATTCATTTCTACATTCTGTTATAAATTAAACTTGTTTTGTATATTTGGATTGTGAAATGAAACCATTACTGCTTAGTGCAATTTTTGTTGGATTTTAACACGTTTACTGCTGGGAAGCATTTTTTCACTTTTGCAGCTCTTGCATAAACATAGGTACCTTGTTTCTTAACCATGCCAGATTTTAAACTAGATATCAGTAGCTGGTGGATCTGTAGATGATGAGTTAACCCTGTCACTGCAAATTATTTTCACACCATCTTCTTAAAATAATACAATTTTAAGTAAAAATATTAAAACAATGAATTTTCATAGCCAACTGAATGAAGTTGAACGATTCAGCAATAAAGGTTTTAACTTCTACAGAAATATAAGACTTCCAGTGTGTAAATTGAATATTTGTTCATTTCCTAGCTAGAACTGAATTGTGTTTGGTAGGAAATAGCATGCATTATACTACATATAAAGTAAACCCCAGTTTTAACATAATACCAAGGAAATTAAATTGTTTTCAGACTTGTTTTTATATATTCGTAATCCAAATGGCATGTCAGAAATTCAGGGCACATGTACTTACTAAGCAGTACACATTTTCAAGTAGGTCCAGGTTTCAAATCTCAACCTGGAGATCTATCCTGACAGATATTTCAGTAAGTACAGTTCAGAACAAAGTATTAAACAGTAAACATTCAGTGACCTGTGAGGTTCTTATGAAGATGATGGTGGCGGTTACAGTCTTCTAGGAGGTAACACCATTGTCACCCTGAAAATGGAGGCAGCAGGTTTCTTCGAAGCATGAGAATCTTTCTGTCTGACTACATAATGTTACATCCCAGAAGACAGTAATCTCCAATAAATATCCAAACTGTTTTCCAGTAAATTGTATTTGCTCCCAATTTTTATGTTAAAGAGTTTCCACTTATAAGAGTTAACTTTACATTGGTGCATCCTCTATATGATTTGAAAATTTTCTGATACAGACATGTTTCCATATATTCCAAATTCCGTTTTTGATAGGCCTTTTGTCTGCACAAAGACTTACCATGTACGTTGTGTATATGAATATCCCAAAAGAAAATAGCTGATAAATGTCGCATCCCATCGTTAAAAGCAAATCTTATGCCCTGTAATTCACATGAAATACCATTAGATTCAGTAGCAAATTCAGTGCAGGAGCCATACCTGGAGAAGTATGTAACTTTGACTGTCACTGTGGACCATCTGAGCACAAGTTCACAATTCTTGCATTTTGAACAGATTATACTAGTTGGAATTGGAGGAAGATCAAGAAAAAGTTCAGTTATCATTTTTATTTGTGTAGAAGAGTTTTTTAAGTCATATGCAGGAAGTATAGCTACATTTCTCATGGAAGATATTGCTTAATATTTGTAAGTGGAAAAATGCCAGTAACATACAGTGAAGCACCCATTTAAGATTTACTTAGTACAATTTTAGATGTGCTTAATACTTGCAAAATGTTTTCCCCCAGTAGGAGTATGTGTGCATATATGCAATATGCATGCTTCCACATGTCCACACATGTGGAAACTGCCATGACAAACCATTTAAAACACTGTTTCTGAGAAGACTTATCAAATTCAAAGAGTCTGTTTTCATGAATTCCATCTTTTGATATCATAAAAATTATATTTTTCTCAGATCTTTTGTTAAATGTCACCTCCCCCCTTTCAGCCACATCTTAGTATGGTAAACAATTGTCCAATGTGGATTTGCTTATGTATGCAAAAAGAAAATGCAAGTCCTTATTTGATGAACCCAGAAATTTTGAATATATGCAGTGTACCCACAGCCCTAACCATGAAACACTGCAATTTACTCATAATATCAAGGTAATGTTTCTGTGTCTTAACACAACATTGGTCCTGCAACTTATGGACCAAGAAGTTATTAAGACATTTTAGTTCTCTGACACTGAAAATGTCTACAGGTGTGTAATCAAAGCTGCAGGCTTGTGTTTTTGACATCTAAAGCAATATAGGTAGAGCCATTCATTTGTATGTCTTTAGGTATTAATTGGAGACTTTATGCAGCAGTGTTCATGCATCCCCAAGTTTCGCCAGCACAGATGTATCTAATGCACCATTCTTGAGGAACCTAAACTCCATGTGGAACGAAGGTTTATCTTACTATACCAGCAATTTTATTTTTTCAAAGTGTTGGTTGTGGTGTTGATATATGTGATTGTCTTTCAGCAAGGTATTATGTTTTGTTATTTCAATAAATTTTTAATAGGTTTGTAATAATTCACATAATAATTATTTCTTCCATTCCACTAGAAGCTAGCCACAAGATTAACTGCTGTTGAGAAAGAAACTACCATCATCCTATTGAGTTCACTGTATGTCTTATTTAAATGCAAACATGGAATAAGTATATAATGTTTTCCAAAGAAACATTGATGCTTGGAGCTATGTTGATTCCCTGAGGTTTGTTTAATACATGTGACATTTCAGGAGTTTGTTCAGCTCCAGTCTTCAGATGATTGGTTGTCATTATACTGAGTCTTTGGGGTGGGAACAATTGCAGTGACTGAATGAGAACTTTCTGAATCTAAATTTTACACAGTAATTCAGAACCCACTATATGTTAAGGTAAACATAATGCAATACGAGCAGTTGATGTGCAGCTGTTTGGTTGTAAGCTGTTAGTCTAGAGTCTACATTTACACTGTAGATCATTTATTTTTCAAACCCTGACTGATGGATTATTTTAATGGCTGTGATGACTATACACCTTTTGGGAGAAAGTTACAGTAATTAATGGCTGCTTTAAAATGGTCTTAGGTGTCAGGTGTTGGGACACAGCCATCATTTGTATGCTGATGAAGGTGCTATACATTCACCTTGTATCCCCTGGTCCTCCCTGGGGGGGGGAAGGAGTTTTAAACCTATTAAACCTGATACAGAATATCTGATGTGACAAAACCCTGGGTTCACCTGAAATGGAAATCTTTTTAAATGTTTCTTACAATATAGTCAGGGCTTGAAAATTGTGATTGTCTACTCAGCTAAGGCAGACATAAATTCTCGATAATGGCAAAGTTTGCTTCAGTTTTTAATGTTTTTTATGTTAATATGTTGGTATAACTTGATGTTATTATGTCAGCAGGCTTAGAGGTCGCAAATGGATTTATAATTCAGGAAGGATTCAGCATAATTCTTTGAGCCATGCTAGTAGCATTTAAAATATTCAGATTCAGGTGGACTCTAATAGGAATATGTTTTAAAGAATACAGTACATAAAATGAAGCCCACAGGTAAATGAAAATATTATAAGCACAGCTTTGCATTGCATCTCTGTGAAGGTATTCCACTTGATTCAATAAGTAGCCAGTGCTACTGCTTTCAGCAGGGTCTCATTTTTTTTATTGATGTTATGCAAAATGTAAACTGTCTGGCATGCATATTTCTCTGCCTCAAACTTTAAATACTTGTTTATTGCATCTTCTGTCCTATGGCCACTTGATAAACATAGTTTTTGACTGTCAATAAATACCACTAAGTTACATTTGCAGCTATGTAATATTAAGCAGTATCACCTTCCTTATTTGGCTACTCTAATCAGTTTCAAGAAACATTCTGAACACAAGACTGGTAAAAAGAAAAAAAATTATGTGAATGGTAACACTAAACAAATTTCCTATTGTACTTGCATGTTGCTATGTGCAGAAACGTGGATTACTTATTGAATTAAAAATGTGTGAGGCAGCATAATGTGTTCAGCAGCAGTGTATTATAATTGACATGTAATGAGAATTTTAATGTTTTAGTGTAAAGCTGCAGATAAATTTTCAAGTCATAATTTAAAATAATTTGTAACATTACAGTCACTCCAGACTACAAGCCTGCTATTCAGTGAAGCAAATCAGCTTCTCAAATGCTTATTGCTTAGCAACAAAGACATTTATGATGTGATATCAAATATATAGATAAGCTGCTTGTTCAATTTCAAATAAACATTATAACAGATTATGTTTATTACTTCTACTAGCTAGTCCCCAAATTCAATTGTGCACTGGTAACAAATCATTTTCAATTTTAAATACAGTATATGTGTAATGAACCTCAGTTTAGGGTTTCTTTTGAGAGCAGTACATTTGAACACCAAAATTGAAGATACATAATCTTAAATGAAGGTAAGTTGAACATTGAGATTGTGGACATGGGATCACAGAGTTGAACATTAAATAAGGGAACACTTAAAATTCAGGAGCATTAAATCAGAGTTCCATTGTTTTATAATAGATAAGTTTATTATTTATACAAGCCATCCCCTAAAATAACTTTTGCACAGCTAAGTAAAGCAGTAAGCAGCATACACACAGAGCCAAAATCAAAAGAAGCATGAGATTTATTACACTGGATGTGTTTCAATATGAACTGTGATCCCACATTGAAAATTAACTCTTTGGAGCCTATCTGTTTTGACATTTGATGTTCCACAGATTCATCAATTTCATAACTCCTTAATGTAGTCCAACTGCGGACTATAATACGATTTTCTGAATGTTTTCTTTTATTATTGCCACTGGGGTGGGACTAACTCCCTTATACTGTGGCCACTTCTGGCCTATTTTACCAGCCCCAGATGATAGGTGAGGGTGATTGTGGAGCAATTGGTGGAATGAAGATTGGCAGGGGAAACCAAAGTACTCGGAGGAAACCTGCCCCAGTGCCACTTTGTCCACCACAAATCCCACTTGACCAGACTCGTGATCGAACCCAGGCCACCACAGCAGGAAGCCAGTGACTAAACGCTTGAGCTATGGCACGGTTTTCTGAATGTCGCTGTGGGTCCAATAGACAGCTTCCCATGAAATTTAAATCCCCAATGACAGCTGTAATCATCAGTTAAAATAATGGGGCCAATGTCAACCACAACTGTCAACAAACAGTGCATCATGTAACATGGTTTATAGCTTGTGTAGTTACAAAATTAAATGGCTTCCTCAACAATGGACAGAGGTCTCCTGAACCCTCCATAAACTTTTCCTCTGCAATACAGCTTTTCAGTTTTTCTTTTTATTTAACCTATACTTGACAGAAGCTGAAAATTCAAGCCTAATGTCTTTGAAAGGGTAACAACTTTATTACACTGTAATTATAATTTAGGAAGAAAGTGGAATTCCATGAGTGATTATTGTGAAATAAGGCTCAGGTGAGAAAGAAACCAACAATTTGCATCAGTACTCAGTTGTTTTCAAAATGTGGTTAAGTATGTCAAGGCCTCTGAAACGTATTTGTATCTTTATTTTACATATCGAACATGTCACATATGCCTACATTAGTTCTAAACACAGAACTACCTTACAACTACAATAATAAAAGCAAGAATTTTACATAATTTTAATAAGCACATGACGTGTAAATCGGTGACAAAGTGAGAGGGGAAGTTATACGTGGATACCAATTCGGAAGATGAAAATGACAAAGTTTAGAAATTTAACAAGCGTGGAGTGTATGTATTCCGGTCTAGAAAACAGAGTTTAACGGGCGTGGGGATCCGTTGCGGTGACCACCAGACACCCTCTATTTGCTAGAGTTGGCACTAACTTCGCCGACAAGCGGTGGTCACTTGGTCGGTATAGTTCGCTTGCGGACTAAAGCCACGGAGTTTTTATAGTGTTTTTATATCACCGACGAAGTGAGAGGGGGGAGGTTATCCGTGGATACCAATTCGAAAGATGAAAATGACAAACTTCCATTTCAGTAGTCCTTTAACCAAAGGCTGCAGTGGCAAGGAGGAAGAGGAGCCTCATGAAAATGTATTTAGAGAAGTGATGCCAAAATGCCACAGGTGATGAAAATCTGTGGAAAGGGTGGAGAATAAGGGTCATATGTAAGATTTGAGGCTTTCACGGCGGTGACTATGAAGAAANCATATGATTTATGTTGATAATTGTGGCAGACTGATGCGATACGCTTGCGGAAGTCTGACCTTGTCCTCCCCTCTCATCTTCTTTCACCAGGCAGTTACAATAATAATAACATTAAGAAAGCCCACTACCTCCAGCAGATCGTGTATTACTATTATTCTTTGTGTATCTGTTGCTACGAAACGCCTATCAATCTCGCAACAATGGTCCGGCTTTCACGCATTTAAAACTTATACTAGTTTTCGTAACGAAGGAAAAGTACTCCGTAACCATTTGCTTTCCAAGAATAAAATCTCTCCGTGGCAACGTTTCCTAGAAACGGTCCACATGTTAAAACATATTTGGTAGCAAATACCTTCACGATATCATTACACGACACTACTACACACAACTCACATCGCTCGGTTGTGATTTGTCGTTATCGGTCGATATTGTATACGCAGTTGCTGATATAAACAGTCATCGATTTTGTTCTGTGCTGACATCTACTTTGCTACGTACAAATCCACAGTCACGTGATACCTCTGTAAGAGAGGGTAGAGGGGGTAGAGAGCGGAGCGAACGGAGAGAGCTCGGTCTTTTTTTGTATCATTCTGCTGCGGTTAACGTTGGTTGTGTTGTCTGCGTACGAAATTTGGCAATAAGAATGGCTCTTTTTCGCGTAACAGCATCTCGGATCACAGAAACACATCAGGTAAGAAATTAAGTCTGTATTGTAATAACATATAATCACCTGGGGGATATTTTATAATGGAGACGAATAAGAAATATTGTGTGTATAAACTTAATTTGAAATTAACATTTTGCTTCATTTTGTGTAAAATTAGAACGTATCGGTAGTGTAATTGCATGCTTTTTCGAAGACTGAAAGTACTGTAGAGTTAGCGGTTGTTTTTTTGGTAAGGGCTTTTTTGTGTGTTGTACTTAGACCTTTTATGCCATGTGCACAAATTTAGCAAGCACGCAGCAAAAATAGCAACCCTCATCCCTTTCTCGCTTCCATCGTGTAACAGAACGTAGCAGAACGTAACAGATGCTATGAGACGGCAGGTTTCGGTGTGTCGTAGAGGCAAAGATAGTAACCGCGTTTGTGTTTCAAGGACTCTAAATGAGCATGGGAATGTTACGTAAAACGAATTCACCCAGAGGCGCATACATACCTGTTCGTTGACAGCCAAATATATTGAACACTTCAAAGTTTTATGCAGTAAAAGTATATAAATCCGTGATGAATTATATGAATTGTTTTCAGAACGTATAAATTTATGTGTGTATGTAACTTGCCTGTTTTTTTTCTTCTCCCCATTAGTATGTAAGTAAGTCTTCTTACTTACTTAGTCTCACTGTGTGTCAGACAGGCCAAGGAAATAGACCACCAGGTAAAAAGAAAATAAAGGTATCCCTGTAACAGGCCTTGGAGGCCCATAGGGTTGTGAGATGTTGAGGTTCCCACATTTTCTAGACATTCAGCTCATAGATGGCGATAAGGTTGTCAGCCCCACGCACTGGCCGCCCTTTACACCCAAGAATATTCCAAGAATACTCCTGGTACTCATTTCTGTTTGAGGCTGAGTCAACCCCAGGGCCATAGTGCGGCTGGAAGGATTAGGTAAATTGGAAAAATCCAGTAACTTCATCGGGATTTGATCCCACGACCTTCCGGCTTGTAGCATAGTACCTCAACCAACTACGCTACCGCATGCCCCCTGGGAGAATAATATTAAAATGTATCTGAGATAAATAGGATGTGGTGGTATGGACTGGACAGAACAGGGGTGCAGGAGTCTTGTGAATGCAGTAATGAACCTTTGGGTTCCATAAAATGATGGGAAATTTAGTAGCTGAGTGACTGTTGTCTTCTTAAGAAGGATTTATCCATGGAGTTAGTATTGTTATTTCCATTACACAGTGCTTGTTACTACAGAAACATACTGCCATAAAAATTAGTAGGATTACAGCTGCAGTAATGGAAATAGACATCATTGTGAAGGCAAAGGTGAAGGTGAAGTAAAGTTGCCTCAGAGCCTAGGCACTGAACAGTGAAGTCATATGAAGGGGAGGTAGAGCTGTTTGTGTGCTTGCATAATTCTGTGTAGATATTTTTGGCAATAGAGGTAAAGAACCATGCATGCCTGTCATCGCCTATAGTTGGAGGCGAATGGTCAGTGTCTTACATTGCTCATTGGATAGGAGGCTAAGTGAGACTTGATCTGGTCTCAATGTGGTGGCAAAGAAGGAAGTCCCTGCCCTTATCAGGAATCGAAACCTGATTTTCATGCATATAGTTGGTCATTATGCTAACTAGACTATCCCAACTATGTACAGTATAATATTATGTACAAGAAGCCGATCCTGACACAGTTCAACAAACTTCAAACCCTCACTATGAAACATTTTTAAGTGAAGTGCATTACAAAAATGTGTATCCTCAATTGGAATAGTTAGTTCATTGAGGCACAGTTCTGTGTGTGGAGGGGTTTTGGTTTTGGCTGAGCTTTGTATGGAACATGGTTGTCAGCTTGCAGAACTGTTGAAGACAGTGACTAACTTTTTAAGGGGTCATTTGCTCAGTTTTCTTTCACATAATATATACGGTAACACAGCTATGTTTAAAATGCTAGAGTTCTGAAGCAGCCAGGATGTTACACTCCAAGGAAATGCAGAGTATTTTCCGTCTTTAGGTCATGATAGAATGTTCCGAATTTCATTTGAAATTAATTTTACTGGAACAAACAATAGAGGTCCAGAATTGTAGACATGAAAGAAATACAGTGGAGACTTTGTGATAAGCTTACAGTTTGTTTGGTTTCTTAGTATATTCAAACCCCATTATTTTGAACATAATTCGGGTTGCTGTATAAGCATCCCTAGTGGAGGAGATGTAGCGAGGGGCTGTAGTGGAATTTCCAGATTATATGGAGACCAAAGTGAACATGTTCTTTCTTTAAATGTTTACTCATCTGTTTGTATAAAATGCAAGAACTAATAAGACTGAAATTTTAATATATGTATATCTTCGTTGAGTTTTTAGATTCTCTAAATGGTATGCCACATGGAAATACCAGACTGGTTGGTATAGCACAATGGTGTACACTTGTATTCGAGAGATACTCGGTTCACATCTCAGCTCAGACACTGGCTATCCTGAAAAAGGGTTTTTGTATGTTTTCTTTCACTGAAGGCAAATGATTGATTTATTGATTGATTGATTGATTGATTTATTTCGTCACTGTACATGATATAGGACAAGTCAAGTTAATTCTGAATATTAACAATTTAATATATGAGTAAGATTAAAATTACAATAGTTACAATTGTTTACAGTTGATTACAATTTAGAATTAGTTAGATATTCTTATTTGTGGAGAATTTGATGGAATGAAGAATGCCCTGGCAGCTTCCTACCAAACCGTTTCCAGTTCATTCTATGCTGTATACTCAGAGCTGCTGACAGTATCTTGAACCAAACCACAGAAGAAAGCTGGAAATGTTTTATAAAAACAAACAGGGAAAACTAGAAGCGACAGTTTGTAGTTTTGATGGTAGACTTATGATTACATTCCAGACTTGTATAAGTTCTGTTGGAAAACCCAATCTTAGAGTGAGGGGGAGAGTAATTTTGTGGGAGTAACCTCTTCAGAGACATATGGATAGATGAAGTAGTGCCCATAGACTGGGAGGGAGATAATAACCCAAGGCCGCTTTGTTTCTTATGATTGCAAGAATTAGTAAAGATAACTATGATCGCATATTTTAATATTATCTCCCCCCCCCCATTATCATATCTGTGAACGTTTTGCATGTTTTAATTTTGGTTCATTTAATGTTGCTTTTCTGTTAGGTAGGTTGATTGTGGAGCTGGGATAGTTCACTTGGTATATTGGCAGGCTGGATGTTCAGGGTTTGATTCCCAGAAGGGGAAATAGTTTTTCTGCACTCCACAGTGTCCAGACCTACATTGGGGCCCACCCAGCCTGTGGGATGGGTACTGGACAGCTTATGTCCTTGAGGGGTATTTTTTTTTATTGCTAGTGGGGTGGGACTAAGTCCCTTGTACTGTGGCCACTTTTGGCCTATTATACCAGCCCCAGATGATAGGTGGAGCAATTGATGGAATGAAGATTGGCAGGGGAAACCAAAGTACTTGGAGAAAACCTGCCCCAGCGCCACTTTGTCCACTACAAATCCCACTTTACCAGACCCGGGCTCGAACCCGGGCTGCCATGGTGGGAAGCCAGCAACTAACCACATGAGCTATGGCATGGACCTTGGGGGTAAAGCTAACCACTCATCTCCATCTAATGCTGAGAGCAAGAATGGTAAAGCTATACCTCCACTGTCATATCTTCATTATGTTGTGCTTAATGAATTAAGCACAAGGACAGCTTAACTTTTTACCTTATGGTAGTATGAACTTTAATGATGAATTAAAGGGATCTGAAGGAAGTAATTATGGCCTAATTAAGTTCCAGCATTTGCCTAGAGCAGTGGTTCCCAAATGTTTTTGGACTGTGGATTGCTTACTGTGTGGATTTTCTTTGGCAGACAACCCAAATATTAAAATATTTTTAAGAATTTTGAATGGAATGAGAGTGAAATTTAGCCAGCATTTACACCCCTGCGATATTTTAAATGAAAATTTTGCAATGCAAATCACATGTTTATTTGTGCAGAAATAAAAGTAACTTAAACTTGCATGCTTTCAGCATTATCGCTGACCATGAGCCCCAGGAACGTATTTGATGTGAAGTAGACTGGAAAGAAGGCAGTGTGTTGCCTTTGTCATAGTAGATGTCACCTTGAAAATGGAAACAGACACATAAAACTTTTTGTAGAATACTGGTGGTCTGTGGACCATGAGTTTGGGAAACTAGAGGAACTGAAACATGAAGTGTCCTTGTCAGGGCAGCCAGTCTGGATTGATATTGAACCCAGGATGCCCTGAATAAAAAAAATGGAATATTGCAAATATTACACCTTTCCCAATCCTAATTCTTTTTTGAATAATAATAGTAACCAGCACGGTTCTGAGGAGTATTTGGACCTGAGAGACAGGAAAAAATGGAAAGAGAAAGTTGTTAATAGCAGAAAGCTTCAGAATTATTGCTTTTAATAAAATATTATTAGGGTGATCGAATCAGGGAGGATCAGATAAGTGGGACACATAGTACAAATGGTAAAGATGCATGCAGTATTTGAGTCAGAGAGCCTGAAAGGTAAAGAAAACGCGGGAGATTGAGACATGGACTAGAGAATAATAATGTGGATCTTGAATGAGGAGCTTCATAACTTGTATTCTTCCCCAAGTATAAATAGAATGACCAAGTCAAGGATGATGAGATGGGCAGGGCATGTAGCACAAATGGGGGAGGAGAAGAGTGCATGTAGGACATTGGTGGGAGAACCACTAGGAAGACCACTAGGAAGACCAGGATGTAGGTGGGTGGACAATATTAAAATGTATCTTTGAGATATAGGATGGGGTGGTATGGATTGGATTGATCTGACTCAGGATAGGGACCAGTGAAATGCTCTTGTGAACACGGTAGTGAACATTCAGGTTTCATAAAATACTGGGAAGTTCTTGAGTAGCTGCACAATTGGCGGTTTCTCAAAAAGGGTTCAGCTCCATGAGTGAGTGAATGAGTGAATGTTGATCTTGAGGACACAGGGTTTGGTGATAGTGACTTCATTCACATGACCCAAGGCAGAGTTTTGTGATGGACTCGTATGAACGCAGTAATGTTCCTCCAAAATGTTAGTTTACTTTTTAAGGCCTACATGGCATTATATAGCAGTAGATAGACCTCTTTATATAGTGTCCAATGGTAGGATGATAGATGAGTAATGAATTGGAAAGAATTTGGAAGGAAGTGGTCATGGCCTAATTGAGGTACTGTCATGATATTTGCCTGCAGGGGTTGAGGAAAACCAAGAACATCTTAAATTGCACAGTTAATGTCCTGAGATTTGAACTGACCACCTCCTAAATACAAGTCTATTTTATGCTTTTATGTTGCTGACATTCATAAGGGCACAAAGTTTTGGAACTGAAATCAGATATTTTATTTTGATCAGGGTTCATAAATGTGTGTGCCCACCTGCCGTGGGTTGATTGAGGCAAACAGGAAGCTTTAAATTACATAAAATCACCTTTGATTTTGGATATTAAAAACTGAAAGTGGCAAAGTATCCGGTATCTATCAGACTGGCTCTGGGCCCACCCAGCTTTCTAACCAGTGGGTACTGGTTACTTTTACCACAGGGTAAAGTTGCCTGGGCATGAAGCAGACCTCTCTCTTCCCCTCTAGGGCTGTTTCCTCACTCCTCTATATGACATCATCATGATGTTATGCTTAACTGAGCAAGCATAGAATTGTTACCTTTCCAGTGTGGAATTATCACAGTGTTAAATTTCCTTTAATTTAATTTTGTAATCCAATCTCCCCAGGAGAAACTTTATGTTGTACCTTGGTTTATAGGTGTCATTGGCACTAACTGAGGACTTCCTAGAAGTTTTGGGGTTAAAGTGGCATCAGTGTTGTTTTTCATCCCAGTATGCATATCAGCAGTGTACAAGCAGACTTGTCAAAAGGCACCTGTCTGCCAATGCACTGATGAGAGCACTAGTAAACATTTTTGGAAAAAGAAGTGCTGAGTAGCATCATTTGACTGTAGTCTTCTCTATGGTTTTCAAGTAAATTTGACTTTTATGTAACTGTTAAATGTGGTTGCTAAAGGTGAGTGTCATCAGCAGATTTCCTGGAGTTTCATTTCATTGATAATTGAATAGAGTTGTTGCTGTATGTTGCAACATGATTAAATATTGCAGGTCAAGGTTGGATTGCAAAACAATGTGAGATAATTTTACTGTACATGAGGTCTCCCATTATCACTTGACATTTCTGAAGGATGTCACCTGTGTTTTGTCAGTGTTAAAGCTTTTATGGTACTATTAGAATGGAAATTTTGCTTATCTCTTCCATGGAGAATGTTACTACTACTTATATTCTACTTGACAGGTATTGTGATTAGTGAAACTGCTAAAACTTTCACTTAGCAAATAAAAGTTAATATTATGTGCATATTCATAGATACAATTTTAGTTATTAACATTTTATGTGTCATATTAAATAAGAGTTAGGCAAAAATATACTCGGTGTAGTGTTCGGCTATTGGCCTGTGAGCTTAATGGTGAGGATTCAGGCCCAGGCATGGGTGAAGTTATTCTTGTCACATACCACATGATACATGCTCTGGGGTGTCCTCTCTGATTGGTCCTTGGAGGGGGGGGGGGTTCTCCATGGTGCAGTGGCTTGAGTGTGAAGCTTTGCATGCAACCCTGCCAACTTCTGAAGTCAGATACTTAGATATTTATCTCCAGTCCCTCTGTACACTTTCATGGCACGGTATTTGTGTTTATCTTTACATTTAGGTGTGGGTAGTTATTCCTTTTCTTCATGTAAGGAAAAGTTAAAATTGTCCATGCATTGAGAGTAGACGTGCATCTCCATACATTCTTAATCTTGACAGTAGATGCAGGAAGGCGGGTTGATCAAGCTCGGGTTCCAGCCATTTTACTTTAGGAAAAGAGTTTAGAACCCATTGGAGAGGCTGAGTGGACCCCAGTGCCACTGCAGCACTTACATAGATCTTGCATTAGGCAGTGTGTCAAAGGTGAAGTCATGGCTGGATGAATAGAGTAGTGGGTTGCTAACTGGTAGGGAACAGCCATGTGGGTAGTGGAAAGGGGTGACACTCCTTTCATGTGAGACTTTTAAACACTGCTGTTGCCATCCCTCAAGAGCCATTAACCCCAAAGATGGTATCTGCTAGGCTTGCCAGAAAGTTAGAAAACTTTCAGCATTCTGCATGGTATATTACCAGTAGCCAAAGCCACACATTAAGCTTGAGCAGCAAAACCCAAGGGATTGATCTCTTAAGTTATATTTGCATCCACATGTATGTTTCTTATCAGTTTTAATATTATCCATGCACTTATTCTGTATTCTTAAGTGAGAGTGGATGTCATTCCATTTCTCTCCAAGAGGGTTCAAAATTTTCCCACCCTAATCCATCATTAAGTTGTTCTGGGGCTATTGTAGTTATCACTGACTGCCAAATAAACTTAAATTCCTTCTCCCTTTACACCCAGTAGGTAAGAAATTGTTACACAAAATGCAGTGTGCAGGTCTTGCAGAAATAGTCTGTAGAGTGAATGTGTTTGATTGATCTCATATTGTAGATGAAACATACTGTTTTTTATATATGTTTTAATTCTGTGAGGAACCAGCATGTCACTGTCTTTTATATTTGTGAGCTAAAAGTGTGCAGATTTTATTCATCTTCAGGCACCACATGTAAGCCTTGGTCTCCCCAGCAGTTTCACTGACACAATGCAGTAAATTTTTTTGTTTCACCATCATTATTCTCAACTGCCTTAAATTAATTCTAACTACAGTGCTGAATTCCAGGAGATGTGCTCGTAAAGTTTTTTTATTTGTCATCCAGAGAAATAGTGTACATGGGGAGATAAGTATTAATAAGTGAAGAAATGTGCTTGCTGTATTAATCAGTGGAGGAAAGCCCATACCCTGAGTCAATTTTGCTCATGCATACGATACAGCATGTAGATTAAGCCAGAATGTTTACATTTATGCAAATTATAAAAAATAATCCTCTTTCCTATTCCTTGGAGGATAACATAGTCCTGCCTATATCTTTATGTTTGTAAAGGTTTTATTGCTAAGAGTATTATTTTGTGTAATGTCAAATTGAAGTTAAGGTGACTGACTCCTTCCTTGCTTCAAATGGAAACAAGCGTAGTGCTATAAAATGCCTAGCCACCCTATATATGTAAGCCATGAGCTTCACTGTGGAAAATCAGTTTTGCACCATGCACTGACAGATTCCTCAGAGTGCTGCTTATAAGGTTTCCAAGGTTCAGTATGAGGTCTGGTAGATATGGCAGGTGTGAGGTGGCAAGTAGACGTCGTTAATTTTCTTGAATATGATGCTGTATAGTTAGGTAGACAGGTTCCAGTACCAACAATTCAGGAAGCCTGCTACTTCAATTTTCAGGATATAAGTGTCGTCTACTGTGTTGGTGGAGACACTACTTTGAAGACAGAGGCAGCAGGTTTGTCTGAAACATGGCCAGGTCTGGTCAAGTGGGATTTGTGGTGGACAAAGTGGCGCTGGGGCGTTTTCTCCAAGTACTTCGGTTTCCTCTGCCAATCTTCATTCCACCAAATTCTCTATCATAATCACCTGGGGCAGGCTACAATAAGTCAATCAGTGGCTGCCGTGCCGAGTGGACCCAGTTGGGCTCCATCCCCCACTAAGTAAATTGTCTGAAACATTGGCACTTATCAGCTAAATTGCACCGCATCACATCTTGGAACACAATGAATTTAATACATATCGCCATGAGAATCTTAACTATCATGTGGATGTTTTTTTGATTGGTGAAACCATCCCCTAGGTGGTAGCTGGACCATCATATTTATGGTGCAAGCTGGTGCCCTTGAACAGTAATCCACGTTGCTTTGTCCTGATAGTTGGTTGGCTTCAGACTCTCCCTCGGATACTTTCAATCTTTCACTGTTTAATATAGATCCTTTGCATGGGAGATATGATGCTATAATGCTATTAATGACCCAGAAAATATAAAGATAATGTTTACAACCAATGGTGCTGCGCTCTGCTAGCACAGTTGGTTTCAAGCTGGTGGTGGTGCACTTATGTACTGACCAGAAAAGCATTGCTCGCTGCTTCAGAGTGGTTCAGCAAGACCCTGAATGTTCACACACATTGCTTCATAATACATGTGCACCCAGTACACACATATGTTCAGTCCCAGTGCCTTAGTATGTTATGATTTCTTGAATTAACACTCTTTTGCAATGTCAGAGTGATATTATCTGAAGTAGCTTGGCAGTTATCCTGATTTAAACATTCTGCTTGCTAAGTACTGTCAGATGTGATGACATAATATGCTTGGCCTGTCCACTGTCTTTATTCATTCTCCTTTATATATACATGACCTTCAGATAAGCACATGCCCCTTTATAAGACCTCCATACTGCAATAAACATTTTCTGATGTGTGACCTGCAACTGCCAAAAATCAAACAGCATACATCTTTAGCTTAATGTATATGATTCCACACAAACCACCATTATGGAACTGTGGCATCGTTTATATTTGCGCTTGTGCATGCACCAGCCATAGCGTGTGTGGATGGAATGCTGAAAATCAACACAGATACACTTTGTGGTTTGAAAGCATGTTAAAGTAAAACAGTTTTCATTTTAATTATCCTTGTTTAAGTGCATTAGGAACTGAGTGATTAATATGCCTTTTTTTGTTACTCCAGAAAGTATTACCAGCCTTGTCAGTTGTTCTGCGTAACCTCTCAGATTCATCTGACCTGAAAGCTGTCCTGACCAAGAAGATTCCTGAGGAGCAAGAAAGAGTAAAAAGTTTCCGAAAGACATATGGATCAACCAAGGTTGGAGAGGTCACTGTTGACATGGTAAGTGTGGCTTCTCTGGTAGCTTGTATAGTCAATAATTATTTTTGGTCATGTCTCATGAGTTACTTGTCAGTCTGTGTTTACCACAAACATTTTGGAAGTAGCTTGTTTAGAAACGTATGAAATGTCTTCAGATTGTTCCAGGACTGAATTTATTATAAGACAGTCAAACATGCAACTTGTATACTTGATACTTGATGTCTCTACAGTTTTGTTGGAAACTGCCATTTTGTCTCAGTTGAGAAAGGTGCTGTTTTTTGTTTTTTGGTGTGTGTTACTGTCATATGGTATCATTAAATGGCAGGAATTTAGGAGCTATATTTGTGTCAGTGCTTGGATGATATTTGAAAGTCACAGAAATTTGGGAAATACTGGACACATATGTGAGCTGTATTTAAGGGAATGAACATGTTTAATTGTTTTGATCTTTAGTTTTGTTCCCAAAGCATTAGTCATGGTAGTTTTTGAAGGCAGCTCGTGCTTTACTGAGTTCAGCAGTTCTCCATAGAAAAAATTTTGTTTGATTGTTTAATGAGGTTCCAGTATACAGTCAGATTGATTTTCTGATGTAGACCAAAATTATCTCTCTCTCTCTCTCTCTCTCTATATATATATATATATATATTAATTGTGATAGGAGCAGCATTATTATTCATTATTGTGAAATTTGTTAGGATTAGTTCATTTAGTTCTGTTCCTTTGTAAAGTAATGAATGGACATTAAACATAAAAATATGTTATTTCATATGCAATTTTGCTTGCCTAAATTCCATTTTAAGTCTTGAGTTTTAATTCTTTTAAACTTATAACATGATTTGTTATGAATATAAGAGATACTGTCCATATAATATCCATCATTCTTTCTTACCAAATTTAACATTTTCTGTGCATACCTGATATCCATTTCTTTGTATTTTGCCAAACTTTGTGGTTCAGTGGTTAACATTTGAGGACCGAAAACTAACCTGCTCTGACTGAGGATTTCCATGTTTTTCCTTAGTCCTGCCAAGCAAATGCTTTTATGTCATTTCCAGTTCATAATTCTCAATCATCTTATTGTTGTATGCTGAAAACGTTTTTGTTTGCTACCACGCAAAGCTACTTTTGAATCAAGTTTTCTAGTGTCGGATGTGTTGTTCAGGGTCTCGGGAGTGCAATAGACAGTGCATGAGGAGTTGAGTATGCCATAAATTTATTGGCTTTGTCAGAGCTTGTTAACATTCAATGGATACTGTGCCTCTTGCTGTTCTTATTGTACCGGTAGTTCAGTTCATGCAATCTAATGTAATTTGCCAAGAAAGTAGTATTGCATAACCAGAACTTCAGATACCAGTGCAAATGTGCTATGGGAAAAGGATTGAGGTTTAGAGGAGTGTGCAGTGTCCTTGAGATATGTATGTTCTAAAGCAGTTGTGACATGGTTGCAAATATATATCAAATGAGTTATGTAACTTAATGGCAGTGTCTTACAAATTACCGGCTTGAACTGAGTGAGCAGAATATTTTGTGTGTGGTTTTGTGAAGGTGACAGTTATTATCGTGAATCAGTGACATCTGTAGCGTACAACTTTAGATGATTGATGTTTTCAAGAAAATGAGCAAAATATATTTTACCTGTTTGGTACCTATAACATATTTGTGGAAAAGGGCGTTTTTTGTGTGTGTAATTAGTACATCAGTTATTGTAATATGTATCACTAGCCGCTACCTCTTCAGTACTCCGTTATAGCTCAGTGATATGTAGGACACAAAATTCTTCTTCACCAGTTCTATGTTTTAGCATACTGTCTTACTTAAGGTAGATCACCATGTTGTATGTATGTCTGTACATGGTTTTGTCTCCTCCCTCTTAACTTCTGAGCCACTTGACTAATTTGTATGGAAGTCGTGCGATTTGTGGCCACCGTGTTCTCATGCCTTTCATTTTCCCAGGCATATGAAGTTTGGTACAGAGATTGATCCTAAACTTACTGAGATATATGGATGAAATATTGTTTGTAAGTCAGCAGTTACAAACACGGTCATGGTGCAGGAATTTGAGGTCATATATGACAAATTTAATTTATTGTGTGGTATGGTGCAGTGTGAAGAAGCATCTACCATCCTACCTGAGTCTCACCTATTAAAAATCGGCGATGGAATTCCATGCCTATGTGTCCTGAGCTAGTTATTCCATCCATTTACTTCTATGAATGTGGAATCCACCCCAAATCCATACCCCCCCCCCCCCCCCCGCGGGCACCCNAAATTGGTTGACCATAGTTCCCGATTCTAGAACCTTCTACCATCCCAACTCATTATCAGAACTACAGGACCCAAGTTAGGCTGCCTCAGAGAGGGTGAAAGGACTCTGAAGTTCTTCACAACAATAAAAGGGGATGAGAATAGTGATAGATCTGTAAGACTAGAAATCTATATGCAGTAAGAAGGTAGGTTTATGAGTTCTGCTCAGAATTCACTGTTTTACATCCTTGTACCTTTTTTTTTAGTGGAAGTACATAGTGCATTTAGAAACATGTTAGTGTCCAAGGTTATGTACCTCTCTGAGAAGGAAATTGAAAGAAAAAGATTTCTTTGGCAAAAATCTGTGTCATACTAAAAGTAGTAGGTCAGTCAAGGTTTAAAAAAAAAGATGAATGTAAGTATAGACTGTACACTAAAGTTCCAGCATTCCAAAGCCAGAACAGTTTCAGCAGCAGTTAAAATGCAGAACAGAAGTCATGCTTCTAGAGAGACCTGACAGTAAACAGGCATAGAATAGTACTTATGTCCAACATTGTTAATGAGTATTCATAACATTCCAAAAGGTACTTTATTCAGGGACTGTTTTTGTTAACTGTGGATAGCGTTCCATCTGTAAAAAGATTGATTATCTTTGATTTTATAACTTCTAAACTTCTACATATGCCAGCAGACAGTTGATGTTTACTGGCAGACGAGCCAAAAGTCTCAAATCTGCCATCATAATGTATGTTTCATCCTGAAGTCGGAAAGCATGAGAACACTAGCAGACATGTTTTTAGACAAAAATTGCTGTTAGTTACTGTATCTGTGGGCTAAGGAGAATGTTTTTGACTGCTAATAGTATTGTACACAAATTTCTTATTGCTTGATATTATAGGAAAACAGTCCCTCACGTAATCCTACATATGAATATCCATGCATACAATGAATATTATTAGCTACCTTAATATTTCAATAATTTGATCTTTGATTATACATATGAATCAGTGGTGTCTGTCTTCAGCCCTATCTTTGACTACCTCATATGTTACCAGGAAATTTACCCTTACCAATGGAAGGCAGTTACCAAAATTTCCATAAAACATGGCCCTTTTGAAAGTTCCTCAAAAGAATGAAGTCCGCATACCTCTGTCTCACCTAGAAGCCTTCTTCAGCATTTCCAGGAAAGACTCCTCTATCCACAGCCTCCTCTGATTGAACCTGTTTCTTCCCATTCACTATAGCCAAGGGCTGTAGGTTGGATAGGTGAGGAATTGGGGTTTGATTCCTGGCAGGGGCAAGAGATTTTTTTCTCTTCTACACATTACCCAGACTGGTTCAGAGGTCCATCCAGCCTTGTACCAGTGGGTGCTGGGAACTGTTTCGTAGGGGTTAAAGCAGCTGGAGCATGAAGCTGACCAATGACCTCAATTTATTACCAAGGTTGAGAATGGTGAAGCTATACCTGCACTCCTTCATACATCTTCGTGGCATGGTGCTTAATTAATTAAGTGCAGGGAAAACATCCTTTACCTTATGTCTTGAAGAAGGAACTGTTCCCACAGTGAAGGCATTTCAGTAAATAATGCAATAATGTACTAGGTTTGAGTGTTGTTCTACTTTGTTTCATCATTTTTATTTTTTGTTGTTAAATTATCTGTTATGGTTTGGATGAAAACCTAACTTTTTTATGTCTGTGGGGAACTGAGTTCCAAATTCTAAATTGAAAACTTGTGTGCAGCATATTTGCAACTGGGAGCTTCATGTTTTGTTTGTCTTGATGTTGACAAATGTGTAAATTCTTTCTACTTACTCACATTACATTCATGTTTTGACCTGGTGTCATCTTGATCACTTCACTTTGACTTCACAATAAGCATGAGGAGCACATGTTCACACTACCAAGGACAGTGACTGAGATTATAGCAGTATAGGATAATCTATGAAAGCAAGCTTCCTTATCTGTAATTTATGTTCTCATTGTTAGTCACTGGATTACCAACTTCTTGACAAGTAATGGTTAGAAACAGAGTAGATATCCCTATATGAAATATTTAATTTAGTTTCAAGTCTGAACAGGAAAGTCCTTAGTAGTTAAAGTATTATGTAACAGTTCGTTTATCTTGATGTATGCAAATTGCATAGGATTGTTTGGATAATGAAAATATGATAGTCTGGATGTGCGTGCATAATTTTGGTGGCAAATTTTGTGGAAGGTTTCTATTTTAAAGTCTGAAGAGTTGAGAGTGTATGGTGTTCAGTGGCATGGTATTAGTGGTCTTGAACCCTTGTATTCTCTTATGAAACCGTTTATTAATTGGGAAAGTACTTAATGTACTGTGTTTAGATTATGGTAATTTAATAAACTCACTCGGTCAATTTAGTTTTCTTGTGGACTACAGGCTACGGAGTTTTTTTAGCTAATTTGAATAAACTATGCTTGCATATTATGACTGTGCTTTGTAAGCAATAGATATTAGTGATAATTTATGTGAGTGTATTCATGTGTGGATAATTACACTGCTTATCTGTCCATGAGGTATGACATTCTAAGTGGAACATCTACTAAATATGCTCATTAGCACATATGAGGAATATTTAACAGGCATCAATAATTGAAAACCAAGAAAACTGAAAATGTATTACGGTATTTGGAGACATCAGTATCGAAGATACAGATGCCTACATAGAGAGAATTTGGAAACAACAATAATAAATTGTGATTTCCTTTTCAATTCCTGTTACCTCTTAAACATTCATATGTGTGCTGATATTGT